GAAATAAGTAAAAGGATAATAAGAAAACTAAAAGTTGTATGAAAGCTCGATTGAAGCATAAAACGTATGCAAAAATGTCAGGACACACGACAGTGATTTTCGCATAAATTTCACGACATATCATGAGAGAGGTCCCCTTATTTGGCTATTTAAAGTGCAGAACAGGGTATTCCATTCTCTGAGAATAAGGCTATAAGGATGTAGGGACTCATGGCAAGCAAAAAAAAGAAATTAAGGATGCACTTGCAACTTTCAAAACGCGCGATTAGTCATTCGTGGCATTTTAGCACCATGAATGAAACAGATTTCACCTATTTTTTCAGCCTCGGACGGCAATATTGCCATGATGACACACTACTGTCCTCGCCTTTCAAAGGGCTCCCCGACTGACTTTAATTCTTACTTAGCTTACGGATCGACAGCCTAAGAAACCCAGAGTGCATCAGAGTGAACTACAGATGCGACTCTCAAACCCGCAACACTATCGCGCCAGGGCCACCTTGAGTCCTACGTTGCTCTGCGGTCCACGTAAGGTCCAGAGCGTAGCGTAAAGTAACTATTACTCACCGGGTAGACCGTATGATTATCGAAATAACTAGATAGTGCAACCCCACAAAAGGACCGCTGAGACCGCCCAGACGGTTGGAGAAACCCACTAGGATCGACGTCTGGCCTAGCAGGAAAACGACCCGAACTAGCTCAAACCACCTGCGAAATCGATGCTACTCTCTGTGGGTATTAGCTACTACGGCCGGGTGGTTATGGGTGGGATGCTAGGCGATATCGGGCACTAGGAGAAAAGATAAGATTTGAGGTAGTCGTGACGAGCTGTTTGAAGATACAGTTAACTTTGTGAGGATGGAAGACACCCGGAACGTGCGCACTGGCACGCTGATGTCCCAGGCATCACCACCGTTACAATAACTGTCAGACTTACCGACAAGATTGGCCGAATTCACGGACACTATACGCTGGGCCTCGGCGTTGAAGGAAAATTCATTCTCCAGCTCCAGTTGCTGCTGACCGGCCGAAGAGAGCTGAAAGGAGAAGCGTTTCTGCAGTTCGGAGAGGGCTGTTATCTGACGGGACATCTGGCGCGCAGTAGCCATGATCTCCTTGTACTGTGCTTGGACTTGCCTGTTATTCGGGGCAGAGGAAACGAGGAATGACAGGATGCGATAGAAGGAAGCGAAAAGAGAAGGAGGAAGTTTGGATCCTTTGTAAGTAACA